CATTTCTACGGAAACAAGTTATGTTTACGAAAAAGAGTCCCCTTCGCGGAATATAAGTTTAGGGGGATTTCAGCCAGCTATCACGGCATTTGCTCTTTAACTTATCATACATAGGCTTTTAATGTAAAACTTATGCAGCTGTGTTTATCTAGTTTATCTCATATTCCGAAAATACTGCTTAAATCTCATTTCTACTTTGTACTTTTCTTCTATGTCACGAATGAAGACAGGAATCCTGCAGGTTGGTGCGTAGACCAAGAATTCGGTAATCTCAGAGAATGTCGATGTCCAGTTACTCGTGATGGAACAGTGCTAGCAGTCGTCAGGATTGTGGCGGCGAAAAGCACTTTTCTGTTCTGTTCGGGTGTTCACCCATTCCTATGCCAACAGTTCATACTCATTTATCTTGTTTTCGAAATGATAGAGCATCTCCAACGCGCAGTAGAGGTGGAGGAGTGGCCATTTTCGTCAATCACGACTGGTGTATAAATTGTAAGCCCCTGTTTTCATATTCTGGTGATTTAATTGATGTAATTGCTGTTATGTGCAAGCCCCATTTGTTAAATAGCTTTAAGGGTATTATATTTGTCAGTATTAACATCCCCCCTTCCACAAATGAAGGCTCTCTGGGCCGTTTTTTGACTTCCTCACACAAAAACTTGCTTCATTATCCTCAGATCATCCTAATCTTTTGTGCGGTGATTTTAACCGTGTGAGTTTTCGGTCCATTACCCTTCTGGGTTTTGATGACCTTGTTTCATTCAATACACATCTTGACCAATTACCCAAAGCTTTTTTGCATAAAAAATAGAGCTCCACTCTCCGGGTCTGATCACTCAGTGCTACTAGGACTTCCAAAAGTCTATTCCACCTCTAAGCGTCAACTGCTTACAAAACCCGAGAGGAAAATTACTGTTCGAGACACATCCGTAGACAAGATCCACTTACTACAGAGTTCAATTACTAGTAACACCCCAACTTTTCTAGCACTACCAAATGCTGAATTATGCTCTAATTATCTTACGCTATTTTTGAATCACATTTTTGATATTTGTTGTCCCCGTGAAACTGTTATGGTCAGGCCTGACAGAATCTCCTCACCATACCTCAAACACTTGAGACGTCGCAAAGAAACCTTCTACAAACTAGGTCAACGTGACAAGGTGAAGGATATCAATGTTTTAATAAAGAACGAAATTGCCAGACTTAACGGTTTATTCGTTAGTCAACTTTCTTCTACTTCATCCACCCCCGCCTCTCCTTTTCCTTCTGCTGAACTGTGGAGGAATCTCAAGCGTCTCACTGGTCAACTTAATATACTTGAACCCATTGACGTAGATTTAAACTCTTTAAATCGGAATTTTATCTGTACTTCTAACGACTCCACTTCTCGCCCAAACGAAATTTACCTACCACCATGTGACTTTACTCCTGTGACTGTGACAACAGTGGAACACCATCTCAAAAAGATTCGTGGGTCAACGGCGGCTGGGCCGGACGGTGTCTCTCCTTTTCTCCTTAAGTCTTGCTGTTTGCAGATAGCTCCCATCTTGACACACCTTATTAATCTATCCTTCATAGAGCCCAAGATTCCTGACGCCTGGCGTACAGTAAGAATTACTCCAATCCCTAAAAAATCTTTAACTTTTGCTCCTAAATCTTTCCGTCCTATTGCCTGCTCTTCTGCACTCCTGAAACTTACTGAACGAGTTGCATTAGATTCCCTTAAGTACTCCTCCGTCAATTTTTCTGATCCTCTACAATTTGCATACAAGGCAAAGCGTAGCACCTTGGATGCTGTTGCTTTAGTTGTTCATTCAGCTTTGAGAGACTTAGACAAGGGATGCCGTGCATATGCATGTGCTTTTCTCGACTACTAATCCGCCTTCAACACTATCCCGCGCCAACTCCTCCTGACCAAAGCAGCTGCGTGCGACACTCCGAGCTGGGCTGTCTCTTGGCTTAGAGCTTATTTCTCCTCCCGCATTCAGTTTGTCCAGTCAGGAAAGAGAAAATCTTCTATTCTTCCAAATAATTGTGGAGTTCTACAAGGTTCCATCTTATCCCCTCATCTTTTCTCCCTACATACTGATGATTTGAGATCGCCAAACGACTGCCTGTATGTTAAGTATGCCGATGACATGGTCGTAGGCCACCCACTCAAAAACCTGACTCACCTACAGTCTTTAAAGGATGGCTTAGATCACGTCTCCGCATGGTCTTCGAATAATGGACTCCTACTCAACAATCAGAAATCAGTACAGTGTGTGTTTCGATTGCGACCCTCTCCCATTCCTGAACCTTTGGATATTCTTCTCAATGAGGCATCTTCTTTCCGGTACCTAGGTGTTACTTTATCCTCAAATCTCTCTTTCTCTCTTCATATGGAAACCCTTTTAACAAAAATTCAAAAACTTGTTTATTACATTCGTCGTCTACGTTCATATCACACACCCCAGTCCTTAATCTGGCGATTCATAGATGGCTGTATTCTTCCACTCATTCTTTATTGTTCTCCAGTTATTTTTCCAGCTTTACTTAAAAAGGTCTAATTATTTTTAAACGTGTCATTCGAATGCTCGCCTCTGCTGCTGGTGTTTCCTATCATTTTTTAGTTGATATCATCGTGCAGCGACACTTCAACTCGGTGGAGCAATTCGCTGACCGAATTCTGAATGACACCGTCCATCCCCTTCATAATGAGTTAATGGCTGCGAAATCCTTACGCCCCATGCGTCGATGCTTCCGCCACATCCCTTGCCGCACTTCGGTCTATCGGAATTCCATACTGCTATTTCTAGCCCGGTATCTCACCTGCAAAGATGCTGAAAAGCAAAAACTAAAACTCGATCTTGCACCTTAAAGTCCTTTTTTCTCCATATATAATCATGTCCACCTGTCCAAAACCTGTTAGTCTCTATGGTAATCACTGTGTACTGGAGAACCGCTATTGCTGAAAGTTTTGAAAGTTATATTCAAAATAAAGCAGTCCTCTCTCTCTCTCTTCCTTTTACCTGGTGTTCTCACGTGATTTAACGCTTCAGCGTCCAATAGTATGACTTGGGATCAATTTCTTTCCTTACGCCCACCCGTCCATCTACTCCCTTCGTATTCATCCCCTCATCGCACAGTACTCGTGAATCTCTCCGACTAGCTTCGGATGTAAAAACTTCACTCGCGCGTAACGAGAATATTCAGTAATTTTCATCCCTGGCTTACGCATTTTGGAGTTACAGTCCCCGATCCTGCAATTGATCGAATTTTGGATATTTATATTTTGTTACGTCTTTGGAATATTTTCGGTCATGTGAGATTTTTGTTCGTCACTTTTCACGAAAATACTTTAATTCACCCAGCATGTCCCACCGAAGAATCCTTCCAGTTTGTAACCATGTCCCCCTGGCCTATGACAATACGGCTTGTGTTAATTTTTTATCAATTACGGGCGCTTAATTACCGTAGATTTCCAGCTTTGTTTCTTCTCGAGCACCGCAGGTTTTCGTAAATGGACTGATACTGTCTCGAGTAGGCACGTTCGAAACATGAATGTTGGTCATTTTACCGTTCTTGAAAAACACCGCCCTTCTTATTCGATTAAACCACTCTCCAATTCGCACCCTAAAGCCTGAAAGTGAGTTAATCCTGAATTTTTGTGAAAGATGGAAGGCTTGCGTCCAGCTTATGTCCCTGATATAATTACTATTAAATTACCATCTACCCCGTATTAAAACATTCCTCCCCCTAGAGACTCATGATCCGCCATCCCATAACCATAATCCTCTCTACCTCGAATCGCTCCCACGTCTTCCGTTCTGGATACATTTTCTTCAATATTGGCTAAAGTAATAAAACTAACACTTGAAGAGCTATTTCTTACGTGAGAATACGGAATCGGTCAGACTACCTGCACGCCAACATCATCTTCCCTCAGGCGACATGACGAGTGTTCATCCGTCGTTTTCGACGATGGACAACATGTTCCCATCAACAGGGTGGGCACAGGAACGATGACATGTGCGTGAACTAGTTTATGAGGATGGTGGCTTTGCGCAGCATCTATCGCACTTTATTCACCGTCATCCACCTCCGTTCCGTAATAAGGCCTAGACAAGGAGACCGTGGTCGACAGGGCGTGGACTCGCGTCTAAGGGTGCCACCACACATGCTGGTCCACACATACAAAGGACTAGGATTCCAGACATCAGGTAAAGGTGAGACAGCTCTGATCTCAACCGGTGGAAGTGCCACAAAGGCCACATTAAGAAGGAGTCACTGTAGCCTGAATCGCCGTCATGTAAGAATACGCCCGGATATCCTGCCCAATGGCGGCCTTCTAAGTCACGACTTTTATCACACCGTGAGTTATCCGCCGAGTGTCAACATCACTCTCCCTTCCCTCTCCTGTGCGTCAGGCGATAGTCCCCGACAGTTGTTGAGATTGGGCTTATTGGCCGACAGTATCAAGAGCGGTCCGTCTGGGCGTGCCACGCACACGACTCGAGCCCCGCACATTCTGCCAGAATTTCGCATGAAGGGGTTTCACATTTCGTCCATCTCGTACGTTAAGATTATGGAGGCGGCATGGAGAAGCAGACGAGGAACACGATTCCCGCTTGCTTTTGGGGTGCTGTTCGCGTGCTTTTGTTGGGTGATGCTCAAGGAATTTAAACGTCTGCTACGCCGGAAATAACAAACCATAACACTCGCCCCCTGTCATGCGCTGGCAGTTCTCTGACACCTTTTTCGCTGCCGGTAGATGCGCTTGCACTCCCACTGGGTGTACAGGTCATGCTCATGGTTGTCCCGTCTTCCTTGCCTTTTTCATACTGTTCTTTGTTAAAATTCTGGTCAAGAGTTTGTTATGTACCAGGGCGTGTGGGATAGCGCGTAGGTAAGGGTCTGGCCGTTACATCCACCTACGCCTTCTCCCGTGGTCGACACGGCGTGGACCCGCGCCTAAGGGTGACAACACACATTCTGGTCCAGACACAAAGGATGAGGAATTTGCACAACAAGACGGCTCGCGTCTCAACTGAGTGGAAGTGTGGTGTGAATGGGCAGTTCTGGTGGTGGGGTTTGACTGCTGGCGGCGTATCACCGCAGATAATCCCGTCCGATGGCGTCCTTCCAAGCCACGATTCATATCTCACCGTGACTTATGCACTGTGTCGACATCGCTCTCCCCTCCCTCTTTCCTATGCCAGGCAATAGTCTCAGGTGGTCAGCAAACTGAGATCAGAATTACTGGCCAAGAAGGTCACGAATGGTCCGTCGGCGCCTGCCACACACGCGACCTGGACCCCCACAGTCTGCCAGAATTCCGCATGTAGGGGGTTCACTGCTCGGTTCCCTGTCGTGCTTTAATAAAATGGAGGCGACATGGAAAGGGGAACGAGGGCACGATTCCCTCTTGCGCGCGGCGTGCCCTTCCTGTGCTTTTATTGGGTGATGCCCAGGGAATGTAGGCGTCTGCTATGCCAGGATCAGCAAACCTCCGCCCTCGCAGCCTGGTGGACGATGGCAGTTCTCTGACTCCTGATTCCCTGCCGGTAGATGCACTTACGCTCCCTGTGGTTATACAGATCGTGTGCATGACTGCCCAGTCTTCCTCGCCTTTCCGACTCGTTTTGATACTGTTCTTGGTTAAAATTCTGGCCATGTGTTTATGGTGGACCAGGGGATGTGGGATTGTAGTGAGCTACCGGACAGATTTGCTTTTGACGATTAAGTCTCGTTTTCTTTGCCCGGATCGCTTGTTTAAATGTGACGATAAAAGAACACACCCGCCATGCTGGACTGATTTGCTGCCGCGCTCAGTTGCCAGGTTACGTAACGTTCAAAATCTCTATGTTATTTACTGCGCAGATTTACTTGCTGCCTTTAAGGCTAGGGGCTCGTGAGATATAACTCGTTAATTCGTGAGGACATTATCATTTACGTCAGGATTACGCCTAGGCGCGGGTCCAGCCGTCCCATCCACCTGCACCTTCTCCCGCCTTCGGTCTTGTTGTCTTTGTCTTGGCATTCCCACCACAGCGTGGGATCCGAGCCAGGCGTTGGAGGCACGCCCAGGTGCGGTTTCGGCCGTGCCAGCCTCCAAATCTCTGTTGTCTGGTTGAAATCCTGGTTATTTGTTGTGTGGACCAGGGGGTGTGGTGGAACGCCAAGGTGAGGATCCGTCCGAGCCATCCACCTGCGGCCTCCCTCGTCTCCGGTCTTCTTGACTCTGTCTTGACACCGGGTCCAGGCGGGGGAGGAGGAGAGAGTGTAGGTAGATGCAGCGCAAGTCTACTGGCATTATAAACCCCTGCGTAAGTCACCGTCCCTGCTCCACAATGCAGTCTGTGCGGCACACGGTGGACATCGTCAAAATCGACGGTCGAACTGTCGGTTATTTGGCTTGACTGGCGGTGTTTCACCGCAGATTTTCATGTTTGCTCGTGTGACCGAATACGTCTAATTGGTGACTGGATTTGCGTGGGCAGCGTATGCAGTCAAGGCGGGTGGAGTTGGTGTATGTTGGTGTTGCTGCCTCTGGCTTGCTAACCTCTGTGTGATGGATTCTCAAGTGACTGATCAGGTCAGTGCATGTTGTGAATTTGCGACGGCAATATGCTTGCAACTGCTGAGCGGTTGTGATGCTGCTACTGTCCACCACACTGTTGGAAATATGTCTGATATGTGCTTCACTTGCCGATATTGCGGGGAATTCCATTCTCGTGGCCGAAGAAGCCTATACGGCGCGCAAATGTATGTGGTCGGCGTATGCATTTGAGGCAGATCCGATGGGCATATGTCGGAACTCCTGGCACTGGTACGCCAGTCCGAGCCAGGCACGATCGCAGCGGTGAGGGGTTGGAATCGAGTCTACGCTGCTGATGACGAAGGCGATGATGCCGAGGTCAGTGGCTGACGAGGCATCAGGAATGTTCTCGCCGGTGATGGCAGTTGGAGTGCTGGCAGTAGTCTTCGTCGCGGAGGATGAGGTAGGGATGATGGAGGAGGTGGGGATCGGCGACATCGAATGTGGCATGGAGTGGCATCACCTGTGGTGATGACGGTGTCTGGCTGAGAGGTCTGAGTTGAATCGGCAGTTGGCAACTTTCTGAGCCACGGTTCTTACCGCACAGTGATAGATTCAGACACGTCGGATTGTTATTAGTGAGGAATTATGAGTTGAGTGTCAGGTGGTAGTCCTACACGGTCAACCAACTGATGTTGAGATTGGACTCGGTGACTGATGATACCACGAGCTCTCCGTCTGCGCCTGCCACAAACACGACCGGGCCACGCACAACCGACCAAATGCTCTCAAAAATGGGTTTCCACTGTTCGGATTTCACGTATGCTAATGTCGTGGAAGTCAAATGGAGAAGAAGACAAAAAGCCCGATTCCCGTTAGCGTTAGGGGTGTCAATTTCTTGCTAGCGGTGTTGAGTAGAAGCGTTATTATGCGCTTTTACTGAAAGTGTTTTACTGCAGGTTTTCATGCATACGCATGTGACCAAATATATTCATAATGTGTGTTTCGCGTTTCGATACTGCGGGTAACTCCTCCAACGTGGATGCGCATGTGGCTGAATGGGCCCGTGCGCTGTGTGGATACGTGTGGTCAGTGCGAAAGGATGAGGCGGTTGAGATTTGTTTATGTCGGGACTCCCGGCACTGGGAGGTCGATTTCGGCACAACGAAATTGCAAGTGATCAATCAAGCCGCCTCATGATGTAAAGGTGTGATCGCAAAGGGAAGTAGTTGGGATCAAGTCCACATTTTGGCGGCGGGGGGCGGCGGGGGGGGGGCGGGGGGGGGGCGGCGGCAGGAGTGAGGGCAGTAGTCGACAGGGCGTCAGGAGTGTCCTCACTGTGATGAGAGTTGGAGAGGTGATAGTCATCGTCGCGAGGACTGTGGTAGGGATGACATAGGGAATGAAAATCGACAGCATCGGCCGGGACGTCTTAGCATCAGGAGTGTAATCGCCTCTGGCGGTGGTGTCGGCGATGGTGGTAATGATGATGACGCTCCCAACCTATCCTGCCCACACTATCCCCGTATATTCACCCCGCACAACTTCCAGGTCGGTCACTTGTGGATCCATTGAACAGAGTCTGGCGAACCAGTGCCTGAAGCACCAACATAAGCTCACCGCATCCGCCTCAACTGCCATCATCGCCTCCACACATTCAGCCACCGCATGTGCCTACTAGGTCACACACGTATTCATGAAAACCAGCTGTAGACATGCCACAACCTCACACACTCGCACACTATCAGACAGGGAGGAGTAAGTGCCCGGTGGGTTGCTAGGTGGTCAAATATACCCGGTCACACAGAAATCGTTCTAACTTAACAAATGAACGCCTCACATGCACTGTCAGAGGCATGCAACAGTCTGTCCAGTCCTCCAATGTACTGTTGAGGAGCGTGTCTCTTAGACCTAACTGATCAATCATGTCAAGGTAAACAACCAGCTCGTAGTACAAGTGGATCTGCTGGTAAACGGCTTCGGCCAACTTGCTTGAGTTTTGTGCCGAGTGGGTGAAATAAATACGAAGCCGGCCACTGGATCAACAGGACGCTCAAGCCTTCACTCTTCTTCAGCTAAACATCTGAATCCGGCGCAAGATTAGACAGCAGAAGAATCTGTGCGTGTAGTAGCCTAGTAGACGCACTGGAAGATGAAATGTGGACCAAACGCAAGCGCACCTCCGGGAATGCCATCTATTTAACGGGGATAACATGAATAAAAAGCCGATTTCTTTTGGGAGTTCTTCGCCGACTAATTACAACGAAGAGCAATAACTCGCGAAATAAGGATTCTATAACGAGCTATCTACTGCATTTATAATGATATGTTCCTTTGGTTTTCTAAGAACCCCAGAGCCTAAGAATTTATATCCGGTTGACGGCATTATCTGCGAACTGTGTGGAGATCAGTGTATTCAAGGTGTAGAGACGCAGACCGTAATTTTTGTGCATGATTATTTGGAGCGAATGCCATCAGCCACAGCGTGTAACCGCGTAATATTCATTAATTGCCGACGGGCAGCTAGTAGCATAATTTAGGGTCTGAGTCTACAGACCACGAATAAATGGATACACTCCAAGTGCGTACATAATTTCTTAGAAAATTAAAAAGCAACAATTTCTTCCGATTGCTAATCTATGGTCGACCATGATCGACCTAACTCTCCTCCCCATTTGCCCGACAGAGCTGTTTCGCCGGCATCCGTACCAGATCAGGTCAACGACGGTTACTCAAATCTTAAAAATTAACGACTGAAACGTGAAAGATCAGGTAACCCTTGAAACAATTGCAAACACCTGCAGTGAATTCGAGAACAGTTACTTTGTTGGACAAATAGTAGCAAAACAAATACAGTCTATGTCATCCGTCTTTTGCTGTCTGCCGTTATGGGCCACAGAACGCATCCGAAAAATCGTAGGAATATCGTTCTTGCTCCGCCGACTGAAACTCAACCACTGCCCAGATCTGACAAAAGCATCGGTTTCTCCAACATGCTCCTTCTCCACACTCCCTGACGTAGTATAATTGCCATTCATATTAACGTACAAAAATGTGAATTTATGCTTTATTACGGTTATGCATCACGTGAGCGGATGAGCATCTCCCTCAGGGATTGACACACTTGGTCCAGAGTAAGGCACCAAAATGCTTGATTCGCGGCAAAGAGAAAGACGTTTTGCTCGGCTATTCCCGACGTTCGCATTGTAGACCATTTCGATGTTTTCACACATAAAGTGACAACAGGGATTTCGACAGTTCTTGAGAAGATCAGATCAGATCAGATCAGATTTATTAAGGGAAAAGTAGGCGAGCGCCTTTGAACTCCCTTTTGGGTACAATAACGTCATAAATAAAACAATGTGTAAGGCAAGTGTGAAAAAAAATTAGGTAAGTAATTACATACATCAAG